GCTTCCCACGCAAAGAATAATTTACTCAGTTTGATATAGATTTATTGAGCCCTTAAACCTTGCCCAATAGGATGTATCGATATGCACAGAGGTAAAAGATCTGAGGAATTGAACAACCACATGGAAAATGCAGGTTTCTTACTTTAAGTAGTCTGTCTTATTAGGTTGTCCATTACAAGCAGAAGAAGGAAGTGCCAGTGCCAGACTAGGATTTAAGGGAGAGAAGGTTATATGTATGTTAACACCTTGAAGAGGAGTCGATATATGAAAATAGTTTCTCCAGATTCTGTGTGCTAGTAGCCTTGAGTTGTAGAGTTCAGCCAAATTTGTTGCTACTCCATTTTTCTTCTTTGATTGTGTTTTCTTGTTTGCCAATCTTCTTAATATTATTTTCCTATTTTAATAATTTATTCAAGCATGGCATTACCAATCAGTTCATGCCCCCCAACTGTGATCATTAAAGTATAATCTGTTGCTGTAGTCTCCCCTTCTGTTTTTAAGGAGATGCCATGGGTAGATTACATAAACCTGTTCTACTTGAATGGATCAGAACAGTTTACTTTTTACCTTACTTATTTGTGTGAGGTAAAGTCCTGCAGAACTTATTTTCTGGCAAATCTCAGCTGCAAAACTAAAACAATGATTACATTTGCCTTTTGGTTTTACTTGGGTCTTGAGTTTCCAGTTTAGTTTGGTCTCAATTTTTGCTGAAGTGCAAATACCTCTTGTTTAAATGGTTGCATTTTGTGTAGAAAAGAATACTTGATCAAAAAAACCCAAACATATCAACAGTCAAACAGCCAACAGTAGCAAGTCTCTTATAACTCGGCCTTTATGCTCTAAGAACCTCAGCAATTAAAATGTGAAATCTAAGTTGTGTTTAATGCCAACCATAGTGCAGCTTATGTTAGCCTATAGCCATTGGCTGAAAACTATAACATAAAAGCAGTCTGACATTTTCATTTACTTTAAAATTAAACTTTGAGTAAAAAAAATATAGGTGAGCCAACAGCAGACGTTTATTTTCATGCCAGGTGGTTCTGTGAATCAGCACTAAATAATTAATTTCCTCCAGCACTCGTTTAAGATATGTGAAATAAAGTTGTTTGCACAAATTTTGTGTTTACTTTTTAGGCTGCTGGTTTTTATGTGGTCCTTCCTTGTTCAGGTCTGAGTCTTGCAGACTTGTTTCCTGTGGTGAACAATGGCTGCTCTGTGGAGTCCCAAGGTCCATTGACATAGTACAAGTTGCAGAACTAGAACCTCAAATGGCACTAAATATACTTCCCTGGTTCTTTTTTTAAATACCCATGGTTCAGTCTATACTGAAGAACTTTGAGGATGTATCAACAATACCATGTACCCCCACACACACAGCATATTCTAGAGCAATAGTGATCAACAATTTTGGCAAAGATGCCACAAATTAAGTTTCACATTGTCCCCATATGCCACTCTGATCCCCTTCCCTTGTCCTATCTGCTGCTCTACTTTCTGCTCCCTGCCTGATATGCCACTGTTTTCTGCTTTCTACCTGATCTGCCATTGTGCTGCCTGTTCCCTCCCTGATCTGTCTCATGTTACACACACAGGCTGCTCATGCCACTTGTGGCATGCATGCCACCGGTTTACCAACCCTGTTCTAGAGATTATCCTGTTTTAGATCTACACTGGATCGTTTCTGGACTGGATCTTCTATGGAGAGATTGTGAGCATCTACAGCTCCTAGACCCTAAGCATTTATGGACTTGGTCTTTAAAGATGTTGAGTTTATGCAGTACCATATGATATCTATGCGATGCAGCCTCTAAGCTGCTGAATTTTAAATCTCACTCCAAAGTGTGAAGACAGTTGTTCAAAAAAAGTAAATATATGTTGTTTAAAAAATAAAGATGGGGTGTGGCTATGTATTTTAGAGTGTAGCGAGAATCATGTATTATATATGGTGCTGCTTTAGTTATTTAGCAGCTCAAAACAGAACATTCAGAAATTGTTTTTCTTGTAGTGAGAATACTTAATTTACAAAGGTTAACATTGGAATGTGAAAAGCACCATTGGGTGCAGGGTGGACAGGCCGGAGTACTCAGAAAGTGAGGGCAGTTCTGGTGGTAGCAGGGACACTAGCAGTGGCAGCTGGGAAATGGAGACCAGGTACCACAGCACCCCAGCCCTGCTGTGCACCTGGGGGTGACAGAACCAGCTGCATGCACCATGGCCAGGGCTGCCCCCTGTGCCTGGGCAGGCAGGGCTGAAGGACCTCCTGCAGGCCGGATAGAATCCCTTGGCAAACCAGATCTGGCCTATGAGCCATAGTCCGCCCAACCCTGTCTTATAATGTGGTTTTTAATGAACAAGACTGTACTTTGTCCAAGTGTAAATAACATTAATTGTAAAATCATAGAATCAGAGAAAATTAGGATTGGAAGGAACCTCAGGAGGTTATCTAGTCGAACCACTTGATCAAAGCAGGACCTTCCCCAAATATATCATCTCAGCCAAGGGTTTATCTAGTTGGATCTTAAAAACCTCCAAGGATAGAGATTCTACGGCCTCTCTGGGTAACCTGTTCCACTGCTTTACTACCCTCCTCAAGAGAGTTTTTCCTAATATCTCATCTCAGCTTCCCTAGCTGCAACTTGAGACCATTGCTCCTTGTTCTGTCATCTGCCACCACTGAGAACAGTCCAGCTCGATCCTCTTTGCAACCACCCTGCACAAAGTTGAAGGCTGCTATTAAATCCTCCCTCGGTCTTCTCTTCTCCAGACTCAGTTAGCCCAGTTCCCTCAGCCTGCCTTCAGAAGTCATGTGCCCAAGCCCCCAAACCATTTCCCTTGCCTTCTGCTGGATTCTCTTCAATTTGTCGACATCCTTTCTGCAGTGGGGAGCCCAAAACTGGACACAGTACTCCAAATGTGTCCTTGCCATCACTGAATATAAGGGAACAATCACTTACTTCATTGGAAGGAACATTACTACTAATGTACTTAGTAGTACATTAGTAGTACATAATGTTGCTGGCAACATTACTACTAATACAGCTCAGTATGCTTTTAGCCTTCTTTGGAACAAGGGCACACTGTTGGCTCATAGCTGAGTGTCCGCTGTAACCCCCAGGTCCTTTTCTGCAGAGCTGCTTTAGCCAGTCAATCCCCAGTCTGTATCGGTGCATAGGATTATTCCGTTCTAAATGCAGGACTTTGCACTAGTCCTTATTGACCTTCATGAGATTTCTTTTGGTCCAGTCCTCCAATTTGTCTAGGTCTCCGTGAATCCTAGCCCAACCCTCCAGTGTATCTACTACTCTCCCCAGCTTGGTGTCACCTGGAAACTTGCTGAGAGTGCACTACATCTCATCTTTCAGATCACTGATGAAGATACGGAACAAAACCAGCCTCAGGACCAATTCTAGACATCAAGCCATTGATTACTACCCTTTGAGCCCAACGATCCAGCCAGTTTTCAATCCACCTTATAGTCTATTCATCCAACCCATACTTCCTTAGCTTGCCTGCAAGAATGCTGTGGGAGACCGTATCAAAAGCCTTGCTAAAGTCAAGGTATATCGCATCCCTTGCTAAAGTCAAGGAAGCCTTTCTGAGGTCAAGGTATATCACATATTAATGAGCTTCTTGCAAGAACTGAGAAAAGCACAAGAGATTTTCTTGTGGTCTTTGTATGTGTGAAATAATTAGAATGTACTTATAATGATTTTTTGTGGGGAAGGGACATGGGGGTGGGAATTTAACATAGCAGTGAGATACAAGTCAAGATTTTGTATTTTATAAGGTTATGATGATTTGGCAATCTGTAGTTCAGGAATGAGCATAGTCAATCTGCATGGATAAGTGAAATAATGTATTTTCCACTTAAGTCAGTGATTCTCAACCAGTGTGCTGTAGCACCCTGTGGTGTCTTGAGATCTTTTCCAGAGTGCTGCGGGGTGCTACAAATGTCAGCACTGTTGGGTGTGCAGAAATGATTCACAAGGTAAACCCAGAGATTTCAAACAGGAATTCATGGTGTTAAAAACATTTTTACCTGTTTTGGTCGTTCCAAGTTCTTTGCAACAAAAGAATAGCTCTATTATATTCCTGTGGTCCGAGGGGTGCCTTAAAGCTAAGAAGGAGGGCCTTGAGTCTGAAAAGGTTGAGGACCACTGATATAAGCCCTGCTACTAGAAGTTATGGAGGATTTTCAGTAGTTCCATTATTTAACAACTGGTCATATGGATTCTCAAATAGTTTTTTGGTTCCCCACCCCTTTTCCCCCGTCTCCACATGCTATTAACTCTTTTTCCATACATTTAAAGTGGAGTCAGAGCTCTTACTTATTTTGCACTAATAGTGTCCCGAGTTGGGGGGGGGGGGCTAGTGTCCAGTAGCAAGTATAGTATAAATTCACACCCTAGCATACAATGCACTAACTTTCCAATGTAGACATATACCCTTTCTTAGCCGCTCCCTCTGCATGAATAGCATAGTGCTTTGTCTGCTAAGATACTTAAGTTTGCCTTTGGTACGGAAATAATATAGCCCAGCTAGCAGAGTGCTACATCTGGGTTGATGAGTCCTGTTTCTCAGCAGAGCTAATTAGTAAAGACCATGTGCCATGCTAATACTGAATGCGATCTTACCCCCAACAAACTAGTTTGGGCATCTGTGCATGGCTTTGCATTGTATCTGCAAAGTGCTGAATGGTCTGACATAAACCCTGGAAGGCAATTAAGCCTGTGTTTGGTTCAAGCTGTGACCAGTCCCACTAAAACACGAGGCACCTTGAATGCCTAAGTGATATGTTGGATTGAAGCCCAAGTTTGCACTGGGTTGTACGCCCTGATACATGAAACTTAAGGTAAAAGGAAGGGAAGAGGAAACAAAGCAAGCTGAGCACCTACGGGTAAGTTATTGTAAGTTAATAGGTGGGGCATTTTTTTACTGGAGTGTGAAAGTTCAACTGTTGTGCAGTTCCAGACACGTGACTAACCACGTACAGCATAAAACGAAGGTGCTTCATTTGTACACAGCATTGCTGACGACTGCTTTTCTTGGAACCTGCAACTCGGTTCCATTCTTAACTCCAAGAACAATCTTTCTTTTACAACTACAGCAATACTTAAGTTCATTTTGTGTGGTTGTTAATGCTTTGGGTCCATTTAAGGAATCAATGGAATAAATATTTAATGTTCTTCTGCTGCTACCTTTCTGAGGCACCTTGTCCTATTTAAGGAACTGCTTGGCAGGAAAGAAAATGGATGTGACCAGTTTTTTACAGGCAAAGTTAAATGGATGATATTACAGTCTTAAATTTCTGCTTTCTGGAATCATGACAGATAAAGAACCCAAGATTGTACTTGAAGACAACAATTCTGTATGTATTTTTTCGTACTTTTCTGGTGTCTGAGTTTTATTAGAAAAGCACTGGCTTCTAAGGTCAGCCTCTTTCCATAAGTTGAACTTTGGGGTGATATGAATCTACAGTACTGCTCTGCTTGTTCACCAAATACAGAAGTTGAAGGTCAGAGGGTTCTGTGGACCTCTCCATTCTATGTAAATACATCTGTTTCAGAGGAATTTGGCTCAGCAGCAATTTGTCATTGAGGTGTGAGTTTTTGAAAGAAGTTATCTGTGCGGATTAGTTGGGACATGTTTTTATGTAGTCAGATTCCCAGTGCTCACATTCTAAGCAACTGGGTGGATTGAAGAAGAAGGAGATAGGGATATTTCAGAATTGAAAGAGGGAATTGGCAAAACTGTCCCAAATATGCAGTATCACCTTAATCAAAAAAATGGAGGAAGATGAAAATGCAAGGGCTTAGAACTCATTCCTTTTCTACAGTATTACACGGTTTATTTCCTGAGAGATGCTAGCTTCAGAAAGAAGTTAATGCAGTGTGAGCACCCTATAGTTCCAGACCTATGGGAGAGAAAAATTTCTATTGTGCAAAATGTTACCACTTCTATTTAATTGAAGATAACTTTAGCTACCACTTCTTTAAGAGTCTTCCCAGTTATCCTTCATCTGTTCCTGTTGAATCTGGCAGTGTCATCTTTTGTCTGGACCTGAGAGAAACAGTAGATTTTTATTTTCCCTAGTCCCATCAGGATTCTTTTCACCTTCAGGTTCACAGCTCATTTCCTTGTTCTTGGAAGACAGCAGTCCACCTTTCTGTTCTTTGGACAGTGATAAAAGCCTTTTGATTTGCTCACAGTGCTAGTTTGTCTTTTGCAGGTGTTGATATTAATCTTGGGTTGTTTTCCTTTTGTCTGCATATTACACTGATTTCTGTTTCTCTCTCAATCTTCTGTACATCTCTTCCTCTTTTGTGGGGTTTTATTTTTTCTTCCCTTTCTGTGTTTCTCTTTGTTCTCCAATATAACAAACCTGCCCTTCGATCTCCTCCACTAGTCAGTCTTCCTCTGCCTTATCCTGTATTGTCTGTGCAGGCTCCTCTCCTCCAACATTTCATCAAATCCCTGAATTCTACCAATTTTTCCATCAGGATCTCTAGTCCTCAAATTTTCTTTTCATGGTCTCTCTTGGGTGATATTTTTGCATATAAATAGTTTCTGTCAAGTAGCACCTTCAGGTTAATGTGCATCCCATAGCTTCTGCACTCACACATTTATTCTCTTCCTTTCCGCATTGCTAATGAACATTAACAAAAATACATGCAGATCTATAATTTTGATTGCAAATAATTGTATTGTTCATAGAAATGAGATGCAATTCACCTGCATCTGAGACTGAATGGTTGCAACCCTGTTATATTCATACAGTACTATAATGTCTGCTTAAGTATCCACAGATTATAGCTAATCTATTTTTCTACATATTTAATTGCAAAACATTTATGAAAACTGAGTGTATGTGTATGAGTCAGAAATCTTTGAATAGTGCAGTTTGTCTAGATCTGGGAAAGAATAAGCTTAGAAGATATATTTGAGACAAAATCACAGTCAGTGAAAAACAGCTCTTATTTTAGGCACAGGTTTTCAAAAGTATGTGCACATTTCCCCCACATTCAAGTATTATGCACAGCACATGATACTTGCAAGTTACCTGTGTGCATTGAGCATTGCATAGTCAAGCATGCAGACTTTTAAAAATCATAAAACTTAACTTGAATTTTACTGTATGTGTTGCCAATACAGTATGTGTATAGGCCTAACCTCTCCTTGCCTTCTGTTCTAGGGTTCTCTAATAAATACAGTGCTTAAAATGATGGTAGCAGGCAGAGCCAGTGTACATTACAGTGCCTAGTATTGATTAAGTGAAACTAAATCAGTGTTAGCTACAAGGAATTTTTCTGGTATGGACAGTGCATTTAGGCTTTCTCACTTATGGATGTAACTTCACTGCCATCACACAATTATTCAGGGTTTGTCTTTCCCAAAATTGTGTCATTTGCTATTGTTCTGCTTTCACTTTACACAGCATGGTTATCTGAACGTTTGTGAATGAATTTTCAGCACAGGAATTAGGTTCTTCAGCCCCGCTAATGGTAACTGTGGTTGCTTTATATGCAGCTAAAAACTGCATTGTGTTTTGGAGCATGCTGAATGCACAAGCCCTGATCCAGCAAGTGCTTTATGCATACGCTTAATTTTAGCTCTTTTTTGGGACTGCTTATGCTTAAATTAAAAGTGCATAAAGCTGACAGAATTAGAGCTTTTCTCAACACTTCAAAATTTCTAAAGTAGAGATGTGATGATCTCTCTCACCTACTACAAGATGGCCTATACATGTAGATTTGAATGTACTGCATATGAAATAAGTGTGTACAGTGTGAACTTGCATTAATATCTATCATGGAAATGGAGGCTACTATTTTTTATTACTCGGAACAAATAGGATAAAGTGCAATACTCCTTACGTTGTTTTTCATATTGCTTTTTCTCTTACCATGGCAATGGTCTTTGTCTTATCTGTGATCATGAATTAGGGACATTTTAATTGTTGGGGGTTTTTTATAGTTTCACATTCAATTTATTTGATTCAATAGCTCTTTGAGCATTATGGGAATTGGTATATTTGACTGCCATGTTACTGTGTTGACCAAGTTCCATGGAACATTTGCATTTCATAATCTTCAGGTATCAAAATTTATTTTAAACAGGCTCATTTCACCTTTGATTTGAACAAAAATATTGCATAGTAATAAGTACCACTGAGTATCATTATAGGGTTTCTCTGCTAATAAGAATTATTCTTCCTAAGCTTTTGCTATTTTACTACTCACAGATCAGTTGAAATTGGTTAGCCTCTTGCAGCATTGTTTTTAGAGTAGAAAACTGGATAAGCAAACGTTGTATTTGATTCCCTTTTTTGACTCTGTCCAATGGACACCATTTTCATACATAAAATTAGAGAGGAAATGGCAGCATATAGTTTTGGCTTCATAATTATTTTTATTTTTCTTCTGTTTCAGGAAAGTGAAAGTCAAGCAATGTCTACCAATTTGAAATACGTCTCCTTGGGGATCTTGGTCTTTCAGACCACTAGTTTGGTCTTGACTATGCGTTATTCTCGGACATTGAAAGAAGAAGGACCTCGCTACTTATCCTCCACTGCTGTAGTTATTGCTGAGCTGCTGAAGATTATGGCCTGTATTTTACTTGTCTACAAAGATAGCAGTATGCAATGGGGTTTTTTCAATGAGTATTTTTACCATATTTTATTCAATAATGTATTTCAGTGAAAGCTGCAGAAACAAGTTAATTCTTCCCTACTTTGGTTCTCAGTTAGCTTAGGAACTGTTTTTCATGTACTTGGGTGGATTGTAAGAACCCTTCATTCTCACCATCTCTGTATCGTGTGGCTCCTTATCACAATAGTATTCCAACAGTAGGAAAAACCTCTGCTTGTACTAAATACCTCAACAGCATATATCCATTTTGTAAATCTGTCGAAGAGACTCCATTTGATGGGACATGAATATTGAGAAGTATGCAAAGCTGTTGTACTGAGGATGGACTTGCCTCTTCTGTTCATCTGGAAGGCATGCATAAGAGTGCTAAATGAGTAGAAATGAGGGAAAGCCATAAATGTGTTTGAAGAATAAGTGATAAGAGCATGAAATAGAAACAATGAGCTCCCAGCATAGTAGAAGAAATGCTATTCTAATAGTAATCAGAAACACAATGTTAAGCTCACAACTTTGTTAACTTCAAAGTGCTGTTGTTAGATTGTACATTCTATACTTCATGATTATTTTCAGTTTTCTAGCACCCCAGGGGTGCAGACAGAAGTGGCAATTTTCGCCTGTGTGAGATTGTGTGAGAATCTGAACCCTTATTACATGAGGGTTCAGATGAAGACTTTTCAAAACAGAGTGTCTTCTGTAATTTGTGTATGTGCTACCCGTCAAACTGTCGCTGTTTTCAGAATGGGAGGGGGGAAAGGGAGCAGAGGGAGTTTGGTGTGGGGGGTTTTCAGCCTCCACTGGAGAGTGGGGTAGGTGTATTGGAGCCCCCTCCAAGGTGGGGGGGGCTCCAATTCACCCATCCCACCCTCCAGCACTGGCTGGGGAACCCCTAGAACAAGTTCCCCCTGCTCCCTTTCCTTGTTCTATTCTGAAAACAGAGCCAGTTGGCAGGGAACTGGCAGGAAGGAGAGGCTGTTGCTAGGGGAAACCAGTTACAAGCTTACAGCCAGTTCCTGCTGGAACCAAGAGTGAACTTCTGTTTGGTCCTGGGGATCATTGTAATTCAGAATGCTTCCTGCAAAGTGTTCTCAGTTACAGCAGGGAGCTGCACTTCTGTCTGCACCCTCAGTGTCTTGAGCTCCTAAAAATCTTCATATGTGCTTGAATACTGACATCTGTACAAACACATACAGTTTATCATTAAGTTGGAGTAAATTTAAGCACTAGATTTAGCTGCAGAATAAAATAAATTTGACATTTCCAGATGTGAAACTGTTTATGCTTAATAGAGTTTATTCCTTTACTATTTGGGGGCATCCCTGTTAAGTCTTTAACCAATCATAGAAATTGTAAATCATCCTGTTTTTTTAAATTATAGTATGCCTTGCCTTCTGCCTATTAAAATTATGTTGAATAATTATTGGCAATAGTACATTAGGCTAACATGGACACTGTCATTGTCAGTATCAGGACTCACGAATCATTTATAAAATAAGTGTGAAAACCAGAAAGAGAGAGTATACAGTACTGCATCTCTCTTATACAACACGCACCTTTTCCACAAAAGTGGCCCCCAAAAACTGGGGTAAATGTATTAAGCTGAATTTCTGCCTGGGATAGAAGCACATTCTGCTTTGATTCCTGCTCCATGGTGCAGCAGCTGTTGCATTACAGTTCAGGCAGTTGGGGGAGTCAATGGCTCAGTGTTCTTCACTCCAGCTGTGTTAACTATCCTCTGTCCTTTTTAATGGTCTTGAAAGTCCCCTAATTAAGTTAATCTTTTCAGGGTTTTGCTGTTTGTTAGCTGCTCCTGGTCTCTCTTCTCCTCTTTCACAGCCTTGGAAATGCTTTAACTTTTTTCCGAATCATAGATCCATGCATGCAGACTAGTTTTCAGGAGCAGCTACGGTTTCAGCTATAGTTAAGTAAGAAAGGGAGGGTAAATGAGTTGAAGACTAGCCTTTGTCCTGCTCTATGTAGCCATAACCCTGGAAAAATCTTTTTTGCTCGTTACACCTTTCAAAAACCAAGTGCATATTTTTTTTCTGGGGTGACTGAGTTTTTGAAGACAGACATTTATAATAAAAAGTACATATAAATCTGAAAGAAACGCATCACAAATTCTTTGTTAACTTCCTTTTCTGTATCTTCATTATTTCTGTTGTTTACTTTTGTAGAGTGCAATTTTCGGACACTGAACAGAGTACTACATGATGAAATCCTTAACAAGCCAATGGAAACACTTAAACTTGCTATCCCATCAGGAATTTATACCCTCCAGAATAACTTGCTTTATGTAGCACTGTCAAATCTAGATGCAGCCACTTATCAGGTACTTTGTTACTATATATCTTTGTATTTGAACAAACAAAACATGAATTGTGTAGTAATACCTTTTATTGTGTGTTTTTCCAGGTTACATATCAATTGAAAATTCTTACCACAGCTTTATTTTCTGTGTCCATGTTAAGTAAGAAATTAGGTGTATACCAGTGGCTTTCTTTAGTGATTTTGATGACAGGAGTTGCACTTGTCCAGGTAAACCGTAAGTAAGTCTCTTAGTGGTTTGGGAAAATTATTAGGAAAGGGATAAGATATTTGAGCATCAGTTACCATATTGTACATGTGGAACTAATGCATATAGGTACAGTTTGTTATCATTTCCAGAGCAGGATTATAGGATAGTAGAGTATTGAGGTTCTACTCTCTTTGACTAAAACCCTTTGTTGTATTTCCTTGTCTCTCCAGTACATCTCTGACTACACTCTTGTATTGTCGCTATAGAATAATAAACAAATACTAGATACAGCATGTCTACTATACTATGATTGACAGATTTAGACAATTCATAAAGTATTCTGGATAAAATTGGGTCTCACTGAAGTCAGCGGGAGTTTTGTCAGGGGAAAATCAGAATTTCACCTCTTATTTGATAAGGGCTTAGAAAGAAAAATCATAACAGCAGTTTTAGGTACAATTTTTTTTTAATATGTGTGATAAGATTTAATTGTCCTACAGCACATCACTCAACATTTATCAATAGCATAGACCCTTGCTAGAAAACAAGCTGTTGCTTATAAATATTTATACTTTTGAAAAAAACTATGACTGAGTTTATGCATTTTTAAGTAGATGTTTTTTTTGTTTTGTTTATTCATCTAGTGGCCCTCAGATTCTCAAACATTAACTGCTAAGGAGCTTTCTGCAGGGTCTCAGTTTGTAGGCCTCATGGCAGTTCTTATAGCCTGCTTTTCCAGTGGATTTGCTGGGGTTTATTTTGAGAAAATTTTAAAAGAAACCAAACAGTCTGTGTGGATCAGAAACATCCAACTTGGTAAGTTCAAGTATGACCATTTTAAAAAAGGGGCATTGTTTTCAGAAGAACTGAAAACAAAGGTTCAGATGAGCATTAAAAAAGCATAAACATTTTAGTGTGGTGTATGTAATTAAATCTGTAAATAAATTCTGTTTTTGGGTGTGCTTGTTTTCTTCTTAGTTCCTATTGCTCTGCCTAAAAGGAAAACTAAATTCACTGTTCTTTCTACAAACACAAGCACAGTCTCTGAACATGTTATGCATGCCTTATTTTAAGGTTCCATGGACTTGGTTTTGCCAAATTTATCTTAATCTATATTTTTCAGTTAATTTACTGTTTGCCAAAAAATTCCCCATGTTGAGTGGGTCCCTTCTTGTAAATGACCAGAATCTGTTACAAGAGGAAAATCTGTTTTTGTTGCTTTTAAGTTTCTATCTGGGTGGCATGTAAACATAATTGTGGTGTTGCAAACTAGGGCCCATATCTTGAAACTGGAAGCATATGGGCAAACTCTTAAAGCCAGGTGGACCTGGTTAAGCACCAGAAACTGTTCCTTTTTAATTACAAATATCTGTCTTTTACTTTTTAGGATTTTTTGGTAGCATATTTGGATTGATGGGTGTGTACATTTATGATGGAGAACTTATTTCAAAGAATGGATTTTTTCAAGGGTATAACAAACTTACCTGGACAGTTGTAGTTCTACAGGTAATGTATCTAAAATTGTATCCTGACTGAAACAGGTCCCCTGGGACACTGATAACAGACCTAGGGACTTATTTTCTTGTGTGTGCTTGGGGCAGTTATGTTGGTGGCTCACATTTACTCACAAAATTCTCATTAGTTTAAATGTCCTGTCCATCCATGCTAAAATAGACCTCCTAATAGAAGCACTTGCAAATTAATAGCAGTGCAAACATAGAATCACATATTGTGCAAAATTAACTTCTACAGCAGTACTTCCTTTGTAAAGTTAAAAACTGATAAAGAAAATAAAATACAAGATTGGTTACATAGCCTATCCTCCTAACAATCTTTCTGAGCTAAAAATGGAGTATACCACTTTATCTGCAGTCTCATTTTGGTGTATATTTGGTGATCACTCTGCTGGGGAATGAGGAACTTGTTTGCTAGTTGCTCTCAACCCAGCATATGCACAATAGCATAAAAAGCATAGTGGATTTATACACATTTGAAAACCTTTAATAAGTTTACAAAGTATTAAAATAGATGTTGCCAATAAAATTATCCATTGTGAATATGGTTTAAACCAGGGGCAGGCAAAATGCAGCCTGTGGACCGGATCCGGCCTCACAAGCACTTTCATTTGGTCTGCGGCGCACCCCAACAAATAGTGCTCTACCTAGTCCTTCTGCCCATGGGTACATGCAGCCCCAAAAATGTACCCTATTGCCTTGCTCCCACCTTCGTGGGCGGAAGGGCCGGGCCTGGCCAGCCAGCATGCAGCTTCCGTGCAGGGCTGCTGCTGCTGCAGCCTCCAAGGATGTGCTCTGTTTCCCCAGTCTCCTGCTGAATCTGGGCAGCAAGTAGGGGAGCAGCAGGAGTGGGACTGCAGCTGGGAGGAAGCATAGAGCATGGGGCCAGGGCTGGTGGCAGCGCAGAGCCTGTGCCCAGGGGAACCAGGGGCAGCACCAGCATGGAGCCAGGGTGGGCAGCGTGTGGGTGTGAGGAAGAGTGCAGAATGTGGGGACCCCCCCCCCACACTCCCCTCATGGTGTGCAGCCCCAACAGGTGGTGGCAGCAGCAGCAGGCAGGGGGTGCAGGTGTCCAGTAGGGCACAGATCTGGCACTGTACATTGCAGTGAGGGGTGCAGCCTCTGCTGGGCTGCCTGCATTGCTGTCGCTCCCCACCACTCATGCAGCCCCTGCACTCGCACAGCAGGGAGAGAAGCCCCACGTACTAAAGCTGGTTGCCTTCCCTGCAGGGGCTGCGCTGCAGAGGAGGGAAGCTCCAGGCGCCTTCCCCTGTGGGACAGGGAAGGCAGCCAGTCCAGTGCCTGGGGCTTCCAGTGCTGCGAAGCCCTGGCAGGGAAGGCACCTGGCTCCAGTACATGGGGCTTCCCTCCCTGCTGTGCAAGTGCAGGAGCTGCACTTGAGTGGCAGGGAGCACCGGCAATACAGACAGCCTGGTGGAGGCTGCACTACTTGCTGTGATGTGCAGCTCTGGCCAGAGCCACACCATGTCAGGTGCCTGTGCACTGAGCGCTCCACCTGCTGCAGCACCATGGAGGGAGTGTGAAGGGGTCCTCACACCCACACCCTGCCCCCACAACCTCCCACATATACACAACCCCCCAATATACCCTATGTCCCCCACACGCGCATGCACACACACACACATCCACACTCTTATACACTCCCCCCCGCACACACACAACTTACAAAACTAAGAATTTATTTTTGAGTTATTATGTAGTCGCCTCTGTGGCAGAATGCCACCTCTCTCCCCAAAAACTCTGCTATGTGACAATTTGGTAAACATGGTCCCTGCAGAGGGCAGACATCCCATGGGCTCTGTTGGTAGCCCTGAGTTGTAACCTGAGGGAGGAGGGAAACCTGCTCCCTCTGCCTAGGTTACTGGCATCACATACCTGGGTGAGGGGCTTACGCTCCCTATTGTTCTAAGAAATGCCAGCCTGACTGGGAGGGGGCTAGAGACCCTGCAAGTCTACCCAGCAACCAGTGATGCATTTCAAAGTGGTTGGCTGGCAGCCAACAGGTGCTGGCCTCTATTGGACCAGGTAAATGAAGTTATAAGGGCTACATAAGTTAAGGACTGCCCAGGAGGAAGAGCAGTAGCCATGATGAAAAAAATCAGAGAGAGAAGCTGGACCATCTGAAACTTGCTGTCTCTCTTGAAACTCATGACCAGTGAACAGCCTGCCTCCAGAGGAAATCTCCACCTGCCTCTGGATGTTACTCGTGAGTAAGCTACCTGAGATCTAACTAGATATATAGCTTGCAGTAACTCAGATGTGTGATCAAAGGCTACCCAGCCATGCCAGTTTGCTCTATGGGATTTCTCTGATATTGCTCAACCCTGTACCCTATTTCAAATCTACTGCTTGTAACCAATAAAGTTCTCCTTTGTACCTAGCATGGGAGACTTACTGGGAGAGGGGCTAGATTATGCCTTGGGGTCCCCTTGGTTTGGCTGACTAAAAGAGACTACTATTAGTGCTTCAGACTGAGGGAAGCACTCCAAGTTCTTGAAGTGGGTCAAGTACCCTCAAGGACTATTAGGCCTGTGTTTCCCAGGGGACAGA